TAAATTTACTATGACGTTTAATTGCTGGTGAATAAGTCGTTTCTAGAAAATTTGACTATTTGCTTCCCTATATTTCTAAATCTCACTAAATATAGAAAATAGACCAAATCAGCAGTATTATATTTTCGTTTCATAAATTAAGGAAACGGACTTTAGGAAATTACTAAAATTAAAGACACTTAACTTACTAAAGATTTAAAACGACACCCCCTGTATGATTGGAAGTATATAAGTTTTGTTATTGCCTTTATAAAACTATATTCCTCGTAAAAATAATTCAATTCAACTCTTCTCGATTCAATTTGGTAATGGAATTTTTATAACGAATAATTAAAATCTATAAAACGTAATATAAAATAAAATGATCTCAAAAGTAAATTATGAAGTTTTTCAAATTTTACATTATGATTATTCTTAAGTTAGGCAGTTTCACATTTCCTATTATTTTAACAAGTTTTATTTCTTCAGCCAATATAAAGTCCCAATAATCACACATAGATAAAATTTCTCCAAGCAATGTTTAGTCACAATCAACCAATGCCATGTCCACAATCTTTTTAAAGTATGAGGGGGGATCGTACTAGATAATATTTTTTGTTAAAGTTTCTTTGGAGTTTACGAAATAAATTATTTTTAAATTTGTGTTAATATATATACAAGTCCATCTACATATAGATATGAGAGAGATTAGAGAAGTGTTCTTATTGATGCTTAAAAACATAAATTTTTTACTCTAAAACTAGAACTGTTCATAGTACAACTAAAAAACAGCAATAATCTCATGTGCATATATCAAATTATCTTTATGACTAGAAACAAAAAGTTCCAATTTTATCTCAGAGGAAAACTAGAAAATTCATTTCATAGTATACCAGAAAATATACAATTTATATAATTAAGGACTTTCCCATTAATTAAACAATTTGATGCTATCACCAAGATCATGCGTATTGCTACCACAGGACATGGAAATATGCATAGATTGTGTAATCTGTCAGTAATGATATCTTCTCAATCTTCTGTTTATCTGTTTATAACATCTGATATCTTCTGTTTATAACAATTATCTGCAATTCCCACTAAGAAAAAGGCATATTCGGGTATCAAAACTCTTCCCTGACAAATAAAAAATAACTGATTATTCTGATTTATTGAATATATCACTCACAATAAACACATATCGTAACCATATAAATATAGTATTATTAAATGAATTCATTTCTAATTACATTTATCTGGATCACTATTAATAAATATCTTAACTAGAAAAATGCAAGGCGCTTTAAAAAATTACTTTCGAACTATGTTACTTGAATTTTTCTCAATTAATATTTTATTTTAAAGACTCAAAATTATTAATAAAAGCAAGTTATGACAAATTTAATGCTATATGCATTGTAATGTATATACAATATCTGTTCCTTGATACGCCTTAATTTATTATTAGGATAATTTTACAATCCAATTACATTTATTTAAAATGATCTCCAAATCGAGTATCTGTAAATGGAGCTAACAAAATGGTACATACTATAAATATAAATCAACTGTCATCAGCAAATTTTTCACAAGAAGGTTTAAGTAACCGCGCCTTGTTGGACTGTTGAATCATGGATATAATTTCCGGATAAATGGGCACTGTAAACAATTATTCTTAAATGATATAAAAGCTCAAATAGAAACACAAATGAAAAATGGCAAATGCGTAAGAAGCGTTGAAAAGGAGGCTAAAATCATTAAGAGTAACAAAGCGTAAATCTTCCGGAGGAAAAAACAAACTGTGGATGTAAACGCTCTTGTATTCTGGTATTTGGAACAAGCATAAGAAACCGATGTCTGCCATAAATCTGCGAGCAGCAAGTCAGTTCATCCAATTAGTGAAAAGAACCCGCCTGATAAATAGCCGCGTACAATGAAATAAAATAATCAAAATAATAAAAAGTAGCATCCAGCATCCAACGTCAAGTAAGTAAAAAAGTATCTTTAATGCGAAATACATGAGGCACATAAAGCAATTTTGCTGACTGCGCAGCAAATGCTATGGCTGTTTTGCTGCCATGTTTCCGCTATACAAATCTGGACTGGATTGGGTAGAATTGTGCCACGGCAGCACAAAAATTAAACAATCATTTTCCATTGGCAAAACTGCAAAATATAGTCGCTCGTGTGCCATTTACAGCTTCGACAAAGTGACAACAAAGTAAAAATGATTTCAGTTTGGAACGCGTTCGCACCGAGCAGTGCTGCTTCTATTCCCGTAAATTATGACAAATTGTGAAATTTCCACTTTGGTTTGGGAAATGCATGAACTGGTACTGTACCGGGTTAGAGTTTTTCACTTAAGTAACTTGTAATGACAAGCAGAGCACTGAAAGGGTTTTAAATGAACTTTCCGTTTCCGTTTGATAAATGACATAAAATAAAATGCTTTGCAACTAAAGTTCATTATAAAGAATGTGACTATTTCCTTCAAATGGAATTAAACATTTCAGCTGAAAACTGAATCTCTGCTGTAAATTGAAATAAAATGTTTTCACTTTGTATGAAGACCGGGTATGGTGTTTCATTTAAATGAAAAGAAAGTAACTTTGTGACTTGACAATTTGTATTCAAACCTTTTAGTGAGAACTTGTCACAAATTTGTATTAAATAAAGACAAATTTCAATGGAAACCATTCACATTCTATATGTTTGACAAAAACTTCAAGAAAATTTAAAAAAACGTGTGTTCCAGATTCATAATTAGAAAAAAACACATATATTATGTATATATATGTGTATGTATATATAGTCCTTGATATGTACTTAAACATATATATGTACAATACATACTCTGCTTCTTATATAATATACCTACTTGTATATAGTTTTTATATTGTTTACCGGGTTGAGGTAGTTTATTTAACACATAACTTTATAAAAATGTTTTTTTAAATAAAATACTTTTATGTATATATATGTATAATTATATATAAAGAACTTATGTATATAGGTACTTATGAAAAAAAATATTTAAATATAATTCACAAATATTAGGTATGTATATGGATACACTCTCCTTGATGTGTATATACAACACATATATATTCAAAGCATACATAAAATATATATATATATATGTACATATAGTTACGTATACATTCGTTGTCTATATATGGCTTATACAATATGTATATATCCTATAGTTTAACTTTCATAACTTAAGAATAACATAAAAATAATAACAGTAAGAATAAAATGAATAATACTCGAATTCTGCAAAGTTGTAGAATATAAAACTCTATTATCTGAAGACCATAGTCCAAAAACATAATCTTCCACAACGCAGAAAAAGCTCACAAAATATTTAACGCTGTCACAAACTACTTTTCAATTGAATTGTGGCAAGAACAAAAAAAAAATTATCAACTTATACAAAATTGCTTATACATAATGATATCACAAATTTAAAATATGTAAAACCATTTCATAACACTACTTTCTGCTAAAAACACTAACCCTAGCAACCTAAATTTCATTTATACAACATAAAACATGGAAAGTATACGCTTTCCTCGACTGGGAAAACTTAACTCTTTAAATTGCTCAACCTACCTGTGCTTCTCTATGGTGAGAATGCATGGACACTATGACAAAAGGACGAAACAGCACTGAAAGTTTTATTTTTTTCGTAAAATTTTTATTCTAACACTGCTTGGCGACGACTACCATATTCGCATAAAACACAAGCTAAACGATCTTTTTTACATTATATACTTCCACTTTACACCTCGTAAAGATTATAGACGGTACATGAAAGAAGTAGATATTCAAAGATTAGACAAAGGAAAAATATGCCGGGATAGTGGTTCCAGTAAGGAAATCAATAGACGAAGATGCGTTGGAAGTGAGTGCTATGTCAAGCTGAAAACCGCTAATCAGTTGTTAGAAACTAAAAACGCTATTTTACTTACCAACAACGGTAAGTAAAATAGGTTAAAAGAATATTGACAAATATATGGTACAAAAAAGATTTTAGGAACTTATACAATACCACACCCTAAGGTCAACAATAATGATCAGAAA